GTTCCTTAATCTTATTATCTTTTCCATTTTGGAAATTTATCAAAATACTCACCGGAGATTAACATTTAGCATTATATTATTCCGACTCATGATCGTGCGTGTTTTGATGGGTATTTCAAAATTAAATAAAAAAAATATTGATAGAATGCGAAATACTTCATCCCATATGGATATCCAGATAAATTTCCTTTTCCATCTTAAACCCCATCTGTTGCCTGATGTTGTTTTATATTAGCGGCGGTAACCATCGTTACGAATTTACGATAGTGAAATTCCTCTAGCTTTTCCTGAATGCACTCCCAGTGACGAGGAGATACATGGTGCTCTTTATATTGAAGAAAAGCCGTGATAAGGGTATGAAAAATTGCTTGTAAGGTGTGAATTCTAGACATTCTTTTTTAAAATTTATGATACCAAACTATTAAACCCACAATTATATTTTTCTTTGCAATCACCTTCAAAATAAAAAAAAAGTTATTTTTTTACTAAAATACGCCCATTTGAACCTATATTTTCAAAACATGAGCTCACATGAGTAAGTCCGGCACAAAAACGTTTCGGATCGGCTTGTGTCGTCGGCTCGATGCAAAAATGTGTTGGACCAACATAAGACAAAAATGTGTTGGACCAACATAAGAAGAAGAAAAAGACCGGCTCGGCTCAATGCAAAAATGTGTTGGACCAACATAAGAAGAAGACTATCTGTTCTCTCTGATTACAAAGATATCTGTCGTTTTTTTTTTATCCTAAAACCCATCGCAACAATATATATCGGTGTACAGAAGAAGAAGACTATCTGTTCTCTCTGATTACAAAGATATCTGTCGTTTTTTTTTTTATCCTAAAAAAACCCATCGCAACAATATATATTGGTGTACAGATATATATCGAATCCTATATATATCAAATCTCATGTACGGATATCCGAAATTTTCCTCTGGGCCTCAAGTCCTTCGGGCTTTTAACGGTCTTCCGAAGTCGTCATTTTGACTCCACCTTGATAGATCTATTTCCTCAAAATACAAGACATCAATCTTCAATAATATAAATCTATTTCTTCAAATACAATACATCAATCTTCAACAATATAAGGCATCCATGTTTAAGAGAGATACAAATAGGTGTTTCATTTAAAAACAATCGAAATAATGGTCCAAATGTTTTCTTACTAAAATTATTAGTTTTAGTATTTAAAATTTATTTATTTTTTATATTCATGATCTTTATGTTAGAGATTACATGCTTTTAAAAATTAACTCTTAAAATCCATCTCAAAAATATATTTATTAAGAGGTCTGCATTTTCACATATGCAGGTTTGGCCGTATAGAAACTGGGTCCCTTTTAAACATTTCAAATCAACGCTTTTAAGTTTCTCAATTATCCACAGTGCGTGATTTTACAAACCCAACTACTCATCAGCACAAAAAGGACATGACATCAGTTTAGAGGGAGAGACGTAGTTGAGACTCGAGAGGGAGCATGAATAGACTTTCTACTTATGCTAAGACCATTTAACTATTTATTTTTGGTATAAGAGTTTATAATTATTGTCAATGAATGTGAAATCGGGTGGTTGTATATATGTTATTGATTAGACAAAATTTAAAATTAAGTGTTTAAATATCATGACACATTCTATTTGTTATATATTTCACATCTAATTGATGAAAAGAATTAAAAAAAACTATTTTACCAAAAATGAATGCTCATGTTGTGTGCAATCACAAAGAAAAATATGGAATAAGGCTATTTAAATTTGATGCAATTATAAGGAAGTCGCTATTGAGCTTTATATGTGAAAGGGAAATTCATTAGAATACACAAAAAAAATATCTGTTCCAAAATTTAACCATTTGGGGTTATTCCAACTCAATACCGTATCTTATGTTATAGGTATTTTGCATCAAAATATGTGTGAGTGTTAAGTTGTTAAACTCTCATGTGTAATTTGATAAATTTTCCTATGTGAAATTGACGGGTTGTGATAATATTACTAACCAAATTCAATTTGGGATTATATACCATGGACCATTTTACTTTCGATTCGATTCGACCATTTGATGTGAAATCTAACAGCCTGGGTTAGTCATAAAGTTCAAAAAAATTTATTTTGAGCTTTAAGCCTGTTAATAGAGCAACTGCAGCCACCCAATTTTACATCCAAGGGTTAAGATCAATTGCAACCTCTTTGTACCAATTATAAATGGTCTTATTGTCTACTTTTTTAATTCAAAGTTAAAAAAAAATTTGATTTATTTTTCCTTTTGACATGGGGAAGGAGCTTCCAATCAAAACCACAATTAGTGCATTCCATGTGGCTCGTATAATGCACACCATACTGCAACTTGTATGAATAAAATATGGCAAAAGTTTATATAAGGTTACAAGCTTATAACGAAGAACTACGGATGCACCTCAAAAATCTATTGGAAAAAGGTTGTTTTAATGTTGAAAAACCATGTGATTGATCATCTCGACATCGAGATATATGACTACGAAAATTAAAAAGATTTTGAGTCCCATAAATAGTGCATCTTACAACATATTATCTACACCATCCATTTTCAAGATTTTCATATGTTTATAGATTGACTTGATTTTAGCTATTTTTGAAACTTAAAATTTTATAATTGGACATAAAAATAGATTTTGAGATAATCTCAATAACATTTTGCATCAAAATTATATATTATGATAAAATTTGAAAGTGCACCGTAGTGGGATGGTTTACGGTTGCAACCGTATGGGAACCACACCCGTCAAATATTATAGATATATTTGATAATAAACAATCCATCCCTGGTAAATACACAGTGGAGAACTGGAGATGAATGTAGTTGTTAAATTGAGAACGTCTTCTAATGCAGAAGAGCAGCTCCTCCACACCGTGCGTTGACAGTGATTGATGAATGTTACATTGCTCCTCTATGTACCATTTGTGCATGGTACTTCTCCTTTATAATTCGGTGAATGTCCCTTGTGAGAGTATAATGTTTTATATAAATGTAATAGGGGTGCTAACGCTAGATACGATCTCGACCCCACTTAAAAATTAAAATATATATGTATTTAACTATATTTGAATATATTTCATATATTGGGACCTGAAAAACATTACCGGATCTGAATTTGGATTGTAATGGTATTTAGGTCCAAGATTTGGATCCGGACCTGATCCGTCAAGTTCAATTTTTTGATCCATACCCAAACCCGGATCGGGTTTATCCCTTAGGTTCCTTGTCGGGTCCGGGTCCGGGTCCATTGCCACCGCAAAATGTCACGTGTTGTTCTTCAATGATTAATCTATAAAATAGAAGGAAAAGTTATCAAAATATTTATTGATATTGAACATTATGGACGTGAAAAAAAATAGAGGATTCCATGCTTAAAATTAGTATATATTGTAACACATTATCTAGATCATCCAATTTCAAGTGTTCATTGATCTCATATGTCCTAAATTTTAAGTTATAAATCTTATAACTAGTGATAAAAATATAGTTTTTAGAGCTATTGCAATTACAACCCATACACGAAGTATTTTCTAGGGAAAATATATCCTTATACCCCATTTTTAACTTCCATATATGATGAGACCCAAGAATTGAAAATATTATTTGTAAGTAAAATATCTCCATCTTTTCTATTTTACAACCCCCTCGACCCATTTGACCATAAATTTTTTATTGAAACAAACATTAAAATATCACCTTATTCAAATTTCATCTCTCTAAAACTCCATCTCTCTCATTGCTTCTCGATGAGTTTACCAGCAAAGGGGTTTAGCTTGAGCTCGAACACGAGCATACATTTTTATGTGTGAGAGAGATGGAGTTTTAGAGAGAGAGAGATGGAGTTTGGGTTTTAGAGAGAGATGGAATTTTAGAGAGAGAGATGGAGTTTTAGAGAGAGAGAGATGGAGTTTGGGTTTTAGAGAGAGATTGAGTTTTAGAGATAGAGAAGGAGTTTGAGTTTTAAGGAGAGAGATTGAGTTTTGAGATAGAGAGACGACGATGTGAGAAAAAGAGATGGAATTTGGGTTTTAGAGAGATGAAATTTTGAGAGAGAGAAACGATCATATGAGAGAGAAATAGAATTTTAGAGAGAGAGAGATAGAGCCATTTCATAAGTTGTTGAGATTAATAATATGTGATCAAAAAAGTTTAGGGGGTTGGAAGATAAAAAAGATAGAACCATTTTGTTTATAAATAATATTTTTAATTTTTGGATATAATAAAATATAAAAAGTTAAAAATAAAAGATAATAGGATATTTTTCCTATTTTCTAAACGAGGTGAAGCTTTACTTTTTATCGTTAAGCTTGAGTCACATGAAATCGCATCCTTTAATAGTTTACTTATCTACAGCTATTCCAAGTGACCATGTGCAGTTTGATGGGCATTTTGAAATTAAATAAAAATAAATAGGCAGAATCATAAATAGTTAATCGTTTGTTACAATTTAGATAAAGAGATAGGGTGTAGTTTGCCTAAGGTTGCAATCTTACATAATCAATTTAAGGTGCACCCTCAAACTTTGTCATGAAATACAATTTTGGTATCGAACATTTTAGGATAGTGTGAAAATCTATTATTACTGTTAATTATAAATTTAAAATTGTATAAGTACATAAAAATACTGAAAATGAATAGTATGGATAATACGGTGCAAGATGTGCTATTTTTAATATTTAAAATCTCTTTTTGTTTTTTTTTTCTCAACATCTACACGTCTTGATGTCAACTCAATGAATTAGATATTTTTTTAACATGAAAACAACATTTTTCAAAGGATTTAAGAGGGGCATCTTAATTCTACATTTTGGAAGTGTCAACCTCGTATAATAAATCTATACAAATTTTTTTATAAAAAAAAACGGGTTAAGAATAGTTCCGTAATTTAAATTACAAAGGGTAATTTCGTAAATTTTAAGAGTATGGAGGAGAGAGAGAGAGAGAGAGAGAGTGAGGAAAACGAGGGGGTGATTGCGATGTGTTGATGTACTGGTGCGAGTAGAGCAGGCATTTTCAGAGGAGCCCGAGGAGAAGGGAGATGAAAACGAAGAGAGTAAGTAGCCTTGCACCAGCAGTACGGGATAGAGGAGAAAGCCTGGTTTGAAACACTCTCTCTCTCTAGAATCGAGTTGCAATGCGTTTTTCTCTCTCTAACACGCTATGAAGATTCTAGGGTAAAACCTACAAAGGCATGAATCTCAATCCACGATTGCTCCACTCTTCGCCTGCATACTTATTCAGGTTTAGGGGAACGAGATCTCCAAATACGAGTCTCTAAACCCCCAGAGAGAGAGGGAGGGAGAAGCTTCATAAGGGTATCAGAAGGGGTCATGGCCGCTAAAAAGAGCGGCCTCTGTGTCTAGATCTGCAATGCCAGTACAAGAGCTGTCTCCTGCAATACCTTCACTGTGATTTAGGGTTTCAAAGGAGCTTTTCTCGGGTTCTGTGTCTTGCTCTAAAAAATGCCATTAAAGAAGACCAAACCAGGGGGAACTGTGCGCTTCCCCCTCACTGCGATTCTCTTTGTATCTGTGCTCGCGCCGCTTGTTTTCCTGGCGTCTCGAGGAATGCACTCTGCAACTGTTGGTGAGTGAATACTTTCTTCTCTTATCCAATGGTTATGTTTTTTCCTTCTCTTAATCAATGTGATTTCAGTGTAATTTGTAGCATGTAGTTACCTGGATTTTGAACTTTTTTCGTTATCCCTATTTTTTGTTTGTATTATGCATGAAGGTTCCCATTACTGAACTAAATTAGGGTTCAATGCCCATCACCTTTTTAGAAACCTCTTTCCAAGTTTTAATATATTGTAAGAATGCATAGGTCGTTACTATTAAGAGATCGGAGTATGCAAATGGATCTCAAATCTTGCTTTCCTCGACCTATTATTTATTTTTTCCGTTTATTTTTTTAACATGGTCAAATAGTCCTAGTATTTTACAGTTTCTGCATTTGTATGCTTAGTTTCAAGGCAAAATGGTTAATGAAATTTGATACACTCATCAGAAAACAAGTTAGTTAAAAATTGTTATTAGTTGGAATTTTAGTTTCAGACTTAAATATCTCTCCTTAAGATCCTAGGATCTGAAATGTATCCTGTTGGGAGGTTTTCACATGCTTTTATACTACCCATTAATTGAAATAAATTTTTTTTTTTTTTTGGGAACTTGGGTGAAAGCTAAGATACTTGTTAGTGGATGACTTAAACAGGTCAGATATTTAACCATAGATATCTCCAGTAAAAGTTTACCCCCTTATTGGAATTGCTTGTGCATCTTTGGCTTATGATTGTGTAACTTCCATGTGATTGTCTTTATGAGTATGTAGGTTTGGATGCGCATGGAGTTAATGGTTGATTGCCTCAGGAGTGTCGTGACGAAAAAAATGGACTGTTAAAATTATAAACTATAGATTTGGGAATCGTTACAAAGTGATTCCTTACCATCAAACGGTAAAAAAAGAAGAAACCTGTGTGAACCAAAACTTGATGTATAAATAGGAAAACATAAATACAGGCGCCCTCTTTTCCTTCCTCCGTCCTTTGAATCGTTTCCATTCCATCATGAAACTTGATACCTGCTCTTTCCAAATTCTTATTAATGTAAATACTTTTAAAACTTGAGACCTATTCTGTCCCATATTACATGCGGAACAGTTTCATATGAGTATGTCCTGTTTATGTCTTGTACATATATTCGTGCATGTATGTATGCGAAATGTCATTAGATCCGGTTGCATTTTGAATAATAGTTTACTTTTGGCTTAGCTGTGGCCTATTTTTGTCTTGGATTCCAGAGAACTGGTTAAAATATTGACTTGATCTAACTGTGGCTGTCCTATGTTTCCTTTTTCCTTTTTTCCCAACCAAAATAGTTAGCAAAACTCTCAGAGTTTGGTGATATATGGATGTTGGTCATCGGCCAGACTCCAGTTTTCTCTTGTGTACCACATGGCTTAGCTTTGCTGTTATCATGGAAATAATGGAGGCATTTACACCAAAAAATTTAAAGAGATGGGGATATCACAGGATTTATGGGGAGAACATTACCAATGGAACCCCATCTTTTCCTAAACTATGGGCCAAATGGGAGGGAGCAAGTAAAACTGACTATCATGTAACCTGTTAACAGATAGCTGTGATGGATTGGACACACTTACATATAATACATGTACATCTATATTTACATTTATATTTGTCTTTGTGTTTTGGGTTTTTGATGCTTCGTAAAGCATTTGTTTTATGGATGCAGTACTTTAGAGTGCATTACATATAGGGTGAGAGATGAGTGTAAGTTTCAACATGCTTAATGTATGTTGGCGGAGTAGAGTCTTCACAAACTTGGTTTTTGAGTCTGTCCAATCTATCTTCTACGTGGAGATGCTAGTAGTTTACCGTATGGAGTGAAGGGAGGAGTAAACTGACTTGTTGCTGTGCTTTGGAAGAGATTTAGGGGACAAAAATAGAGCATTGGGGTGTTGATTGGATTTTTTTACTGGAGGAAGTTATCCGGCGCAGAGGGCTCGGCAGGAGATTGTGGAAGTGGGACAATTTTAGCTGATCCATGATCAGATCGTCATTAACCTTGAGTATCCTTCAGAGGAAGTGTTTATGGCTTCCCAAGTTGATTTGGGGGTATCCTAATCTGACTTAGGTTACACTTTTGGTATGTTAGCCTACTAGATGAGATCTTTCATCTAGAAATCCTCAGTATTTGGGATGCAAAGTCCAAACACATGTTTATGACAGAGTAAAATATAGGAGACGATCTATATGTTGTTTTGGATTACTATACACAAATTTGGAACTTCTTTTTCGAAAAGTTTGAGATGTGGAGGATGATGCCAATGCTTGTAGGACATAGGATATCTAAGGGCTACAGACCTAGTGCACCGTCTTTTCTCTGGAAGATGCATTTTCTAACAATCTCTTGGGTAAAGGGAGGGAGGGAGGGAGGGAGAAAGGGAAAAAAAAAATGGGGGGGGTGGGGGTGAGGAGGGAGTCTTCCCCACAGTTTCTCAGATCCCATCTAGACTTTCCACTTCTGCTGTATCTGCTTCTTTCCTGGCAGCATGACTCGGGCTTCACATGGCTTCACCTTGCACTCCAATACAATAAGTGCATAAATTTTGTTTATGCATGTGACCTGCATAGGAGTGTGGGTGGCTGGCTGTGATGGACGGTGGAGCTTGTTGGGCTACGCTAGGTGTTACTGATAGAGTTGAAAGAAAATCTTAAGGTGTCTGCGAACTTCACCTAGACATTGTCGTGTTGTAGTTCTTGGGCATGGGTTTGCAATGTTGTTGGTATACAACAGTGCATTGGTTGATAGGCACTGGAGAGATCCCTCTCCTATCCCCTTGAGTTGCTATTGGAATGATTTGATTGACAAATTATTCATGTTTTTCCACTTCCATTCTCTCATTTGACATTATCTATAATAAGCCCTTTCTGAAAACACCTTAAAACTACTAGTAAAATATTAGTCACCTCAATAAAGAACTCAACTCTTCAATTTAAGCAAAGCTTTATTTCCTTAACTGCCCTTCAAAACCAAGGTCTGCATACTGCCATGCACTCTCCATCCTTTATGTACTCAATTCCATGGAGACAAGGGCTAGACTAGCTAGGGAAACGGATGTTAAAAGCCTTCTTCACCCCTAGTATCCATCAATGAAGAAATTCTATTTCCATCTATCTTGAACCTCACCCTCTCTGAACATGTTCTCCTAATGACCATGCCCTCGTCCAAGCCCTCAAAATTCCATCTTGCTTTGGGCCTTTGTCACCATATCCATTTTCTCTTTTCCATTTTTCTTGTTCACAACTTGAATGCAAGGGACCTTTGGCTTGACTCTAAAACCATTGTTGTTGGGAGCAAGAGTTGGATTGAGAGCGGGGGTTTGTTGCTTGAATATTGTTCCTCAGTAGGGAGTGTCATGGGGGCATCCATAAAATATATATTAAAAAACAAATAATTATTTAAAATAAGATAAACTTAAAAAATTTGTTTAAAAAATTTTGATGATCAAGCTCCCTTCCAAATTTGGTATATAGTGAAATTCCCTCCGTGCTTTAATATTCAAAATTTACCTTGTGATGCATTTTTAATTTCCACAATGGAGCCCACTAAAGGTGAAGGGGGACTCTTCCTTGACAATATTAATGGAAAGAGTTCTAGAGAAGACAGGGGACGCACTCCTAAGGGAATGAGAATACATTGAGAATGTCCTGAACTATGGAGATGCCTTCCCAGAGCACGAGGGCCAACTTAGATGGAAGATCCCAATAACTATACCCAAAATGCTAATGTCACTGCACGTTTCCCTTAAGCACTAGAGAGAGGAACATAATAAATGAGAATTTGGCAACAAATAGCCTTAATTAGTTCTCTCCAGTGGGAGAGAGAGAGGCTCTTCAATGGCCGCCAATTTTAAAACTTCAAAATTCTTCAGGGAGGAGTCTGAAATTCTATTTCCTGTATGTTTGCCAGTGATCATGGTGGCCAAATTTAGCAATGACTGGGCTTGGTGATGGGCCAGGCCTGGCCATACTGGCTGTGGCCCGATTTGGAGGCTTGGGGCACTTTCGCTAGCCTGCCCGTTGGCAGGGTTGGTGTTGTAGTTAGTCGTTACATATAGGTTTCTAGAATTAAGAAATTAGGGTAGGTTTGGTCTGTTTTGTTTTTAGAGATTTTTGGGTATTTGTCTTTTGTTGTTGTAGATACCTTAGGGGTCTTTTTGTCATGGCTGGTGTTTGGCAAGATAATGGCTAGGATTTAATAGTGCTTAGGTTTCTTGAGAGTCAGGTTAGCTTTTTTTTTTTTGGCCTTCTGCTTTGTAGAATACAGAGAAGTTGAATTGACTTATTTTGTTCTTGCGAAAAGATTGTTTTGGGTGGACTTCCTTGCAAGCCTAGAAAGAGGGCCAAATCTCTCCACCTTTATGGTGGATTCCCTTGCAGATCCAAATAGATGGTATTTTATCGCATCTTTCTTTATTTTTTGATTTTTCCTTTTTTTTGTCTCTCTTTTTCCTAGTCATTCAGGGCAGGCTGAGCTGGTTCTTTATATTGTTTCTGCTGGGGCCAGCTGGCCAGGCCTGATTTGCCCGTCCTGGAACCTGGGCAAGAAACACCTATCCTGGCCTGGGCTGGGCCTAAATTGCCATGCCGATTTACTGCTGAGCATTTATGCGTTTCATGCTATCATTCTAACAGATTTCTTGACTGTTTGGCACACAAATCCAAATCCAAAGTTGGCACTGTTTTTGAACTGATTCTTGAGCCACAAATTGCCCATAAATATCTCATTAGCCTCTTCAAGCCGTGAATTGTAACTAAAATTACACAGCCATAGTTTACCTAATAGATTTACATTATACATATAAGTGGAACCCATGATTGTTTGAAGCCTGGGTCTTGCTGCTTATTAAGTCCTGACAGTTTTGAGTACACTGAATGAGGCCTATCATATGAGTAACTTATGCAGTCTTTATAAAAAAAATTGATTTTTCTGTTACTACCAAATATTATGCACTGTATTGTATTCGAATGAGTCAAATTGGTCTGGAGAACTGCCTGTTTACCTTGCTTCTTGTGTGAATGCTTTTTATGAGGTTCCTGGTGTTTCTGGAGATGTTTCCTGTTGTTCACCGCATACTGCTTGTCGATCTATTTGTTTTATGAGCAACGTTTATCAATCAGTAAAGATTGCACATACAACTGTTTATAGATACACAGTGTCGTAACCTCCCTTTAACCAGCTTCTATCTAGTCATCTCTTAAAGCGTGTTTGTTTTGTGGAAGCTGCAGTTTCCACGAACTGTAGCACTCTCGCATTTGTCATGCAGGAGTGCAAGAGCAATTTGGATTTTGGAAGCTGTTGCTTCCAGCAGCCTTAAAAAAGATGTCAATGGACGTTTTTTGGAGGCCACCAATTCCAGCTGCCAAGGGGGCTCTGGCAGCCCCCTCTTCCACAAGAGGAACATACCCGAACTGGTTGTCTGTTTTCTCGTACACATCTCTAAGGACATATTTAAACATTAACAACCAACCAATCCCACAAATCCTTAACAACTACATTCCTCCAAAGTACGACTACCTCTTGTAGCTCCCTTCTCACTCTCACTATATTTGATGAATCAACTACTGATTTCTGGGATTGAGCACTGAGTAAGAATCAGTATTGTCAAATCCAAAGAGGCCGAGGCCTTCGGATTTTCGGCATAAACCGAAGCAAAGAGAAAGCTAGTGCTGCCGCTTCGGTCAGATTCGGGCTGCTTTGGTCAGATTTGGGTTTGCTTCAGATTTTCTTCGGCCGAAGCTTCCAGCTGTTTCGGTTAGAAAAGAAATACCTACATAAAAGCAATTTTTTTTTTAATATTTTTCCATTATTTTATATATTTTTTATATAAATATCTAATTTATTTATATCAAATTAGAAAAAAAAAGTCCAAAGTCTTCCCCCTAATCGGTTGAAGCACCGATGTGCTTCATTTTTCTCACCAAACTGAAAAAGAATTGGAAGTGAGTCTTACAACATTGGTATGAATGGTTAGTATTTTGACAATTGGAGCACCGCAGATATATGAATCCATCTACTGCTAATGCCCCCTGCCCCTACGAAAACAAAAAAGAATAAAGAAAAGAAATAAATTTTAGAAAATGTATACAATGAGACCATTTACTATTAATCAATGTTGTCAGATTCGCTTCGGAGTCTTATTCGGTTTGGTGATAAAAGTGAAGCAATTCGGTGCTTCAGCTGATTCGGGAGAAGACGTTGGATTTTTTTTTAAATTTAATATAAATAAATTAGATATTTATATATAAAATATATACAAATAATGGAAAATTTTAAAATAAAAAATAAAAAATAATAAAAAATACTTTTATATAGCTATTTCTTTGCTGGTCGAAGCAGACCCGATTCTGATCGAAGTAGCCTAACGCGGTAGCACCAGGCTTTGCTTCGCTTTGGTTTATGTTTAACATTCGAAGGCTTCAGCCTCTTTGGCCGAAGCGACATGAATTTGATAACATTGCTTTTAATACAAGGAGGTCACAATTATCATGGACCGTTAGATTTAAAATCAAGTGGTTGAGGGTGTGTCATTGTTTGGGCACAAAGTCCAAAATAAAATTTCTTGAATGTTTGACACTTTCGACTATTGGATTTCACATCCAATCGTTAAAAGTGATTGTGACCTCCTTGTACAAAAAATAAATAGTCTCATAGTACACAATCCTTAGATTTTATCATTTTCATGGTAAAGCTTTAGAGGTGGCTTTGTACAATTTTAGAGGTGGCTGAGACATTGATTCGTCGGCTTCTACTTTCTTGTATGGAATTAACGTGCAAATTCAGCCACCTTCCAGATATTTGAAGTTGCCATTCCACGTTCTATTATTATGGGAATTTGGATTTGTTCATTCTTGGCAATTTTACATATTATTTGATATTTGGTTTATTGGTTGGTTATCAATTTTTAATAACTTCATTTGTATATTCTGGGTAGCTTCAATGTGGCTTTCAATTTGGTTGCTACTTATTATCCATTGATTCTAATCACTTTCCCCTATTACAGGCCTGAAGGACATAAAAAATGGTTCTATGGGACAGGTAGCGTGTCTTTTGATTGATTTTATTCTTTTGAAATGATAGTGCTGATTGCATTTGGACAGTGGTGTTGCAATTGCTGCAAATGGAATGACTTGATCATGTCTGAATGCCAGCAGGTTTTAGACTGGAGAAAGCAGCAGGCCATCCAGCAGATGCAATCTCTGCTTTCAAATGAGGCAAGTGCACAAATGATCAAAGACGTAGGATCATAGACTTGAGCTATAATTAAAAGTAGGTCGAACTTGACGTGAGTTGTTGAACTTTCTGTCGAGTATAGGCTACTCAACCTGAGTAGGGGGTAGGCGATTTGAGAACCGGGGAGGTGGAAAGCTGGACTTTTGTGGGACTTTTTATTAATGTTTGTCTTTTTGGTTGGTGATTGTTGGTATTTATACATATGTCTCTAATGTATGAAAGTCATATTTTAAGAAATTTAAATGCAATGAGATATATTTTAAAATTATTAATTTTTCTTTTTTTTCCCAGTTTTGTATTTTTCCAAAAAAAAGTAACAGAAATTGTTCTTGCTTGCCTTACTTTCCATCGTGACTTATTTTTCACAGTCTGACTTTTGACTAACCCCCCCCTTTTTTTATATTTTATTTAAAAAAATAAAGAGGAGTCAACTTTGTCTTCCTGACATGTAAAATATTATGCTTCAGGTCTTGGATATCATCAAGAACAACACAGATGACTCAGGGCCACTTAGTCTTAATCTTGGTGGAAGAACTGATTTGTCTTCTTCCTGGATACTCGACCAACCTGGTGGATCAAGTGAGGTGAATGTTACCTGTTCCAAGTGTTTTTATGCCTTTTCAGTAGTGCTGAGCTCACTTTATATGCTTGAAATAATAAGAATGTGATCTCTCTCTCTCTCTCTCTCAATTTAAAGAAAAAGGAAAAAGAAATGGAACTGATGGTCTTGCCTTCTGTATTGATTATTATCACTTAAAGCAGAGCCAAACTATGTCGGATGGAAAAGAGGTGACAGCACCAGTAAAGGAAGAAAATGCTATTGGTACTCAACGTGTGAATTCAAAGGATGAAGGGCTTAAAGATGGGGGTGTTCCAGGTAAATTTTGTGGCCCCATGTGTTTTCACTTTTCAAGTTATATCTTGTATGCATACTTTGAGTGCCCACCGAGTGGATTCTAAGATGAAGTGCATGTTGCAGAACACCCTCAAATTCCTGATACACCAACAAAACTTATTCGAAGGGTATATATTCTCCTCAACATTAGATACAACATTTTGATTGCTTAGATGCTTTTATTTCTTGTATTTATATAGAACAAGAAATTGTTACTCTTTTATATCTGAATAAGTAGCACAGAAAAAGAAAATATTATAATCCAAATGACTTCTTAGAGACCATAAGCCTTAGAGTCATCATTGTCTCGTGAAATGATGGGCAGTGATGGAAAGTGGAACCATACTGTCTCCATCGGTGGATGGTGATGAGCCTAAGGATTCTCCACAGTCCTCAGTTTGTTGAGTATTGTGTGTCAAATGGCAAAAATGTGTTTAGTATTGTGCTGGATTTCATATTTCTGATTACCTATAGTTTGTAACTTTTGCTTGTAGCAATTGAGACAAAAGAGACGGGAAAAAAGGGCAATAGAATTGGTCCATCAAGATAATGAAGCAGCTGTCAAACTTGAAAATGCTGCCATTGAACGTTCAAAAGCGGTAGACTCTGCAGTCTTGGGAAAATACAGCATCTGGAGGCGTGAAAATGAGAATGAGAACACTGATTCAACTGTGAGATTGATGAGGGACCAGATGATCATGGCAAGGGTGTATATAAGCATTGCAAAGGAAAAGAACAGGCCTGATCTGTACCACGATTTAGCGGCTCGACTTAAAGAAAGCCAGCGGGCACTGGGAGAGGCTAATGTAGATTCTGATCTGCATCATAGGTGAGGGTGCTTTGCCCCTTCATTTCTCAGAAAAATTGTTCTGCGATGCTTGTTCGTGGAGGTAGTTACTTAGAGATATCTAATGTTCAATTGAAAATTGAAAATTTAAAGGAATTTGAACAAATAAACTCTTTCTCTCTCACTCATTTTCAGCTTGTAAGCTATTTTTTCTGTAACTCCTTATAGTTCTTGTTTTGGTAAATTGGTGGTTTCTTCTTGTAAACATGTATATTTCTTTAGGAAAAAATATTGGTGGTTCCCATCATTTATGCCGTTTTTCCATTCTTCAGTGCTCCTGAGAGAATTAAGGCCATGGGTCAATCTCTAGCAAAAGCAAGAGAAGGGGTGTATGATTGCTTGCTGGTGACCCGGAAGCTCAGGGCAATGCTTCAGTCCGCAGACGAGCAGGTTAGGAGCTTGAAGAAGCAAAGCACATTCTTGAGCCAACTGGCTGCCAAGACAGTTCCTAATGGAATTCATTGCCTGTCCATGCGCTTAACTATTGGCTATTACCTCCTCCCACCTGAGGAAAGGAAATTCCCAAGAAGTGAGAATTTGGAAGACCCAAAGCTTTACCATTATGCACTCTTCTCTGACAATGTTTTGGCTGCATCTGTTGTTGTCAACTCTACAATCATGAATGCCAAGGTCAGGCTAAGGCTTTACTCCTCTGTTATCCTCCCATCTATCCCATTTACATAACTTGTCAAAGAAAATATCATTTATAGTTGATGGAATACTAACTTCTTAAAGTGCCCAGATTTGGACACGGATCAAGGGGGTAGGGATACAACTCAACATTAATGAAATCCAAGTGTTCCATTCGAAAAGCCTATATGTTGTATTCATAATATATGTCCCATTTGGAAAACCTATATGTTGTATTCATAATATATGACAAATTAATTATAGTGATATTGTATAATTTAGAGTTTCCGTGTAGCTTGTAAAGTGCATAAAGTTATGGTAGATATATTGTATATTAATGTTATATTCATGTTGATACTGGATGTGTCATATCATATATTTTATTAGGTTACACAGATAAATCAATTCAAAATTTTATTATATTCATATTATATTTCTGAAGTGATTTTATACTCCTGTGGGAGCAACATAAGCAAAATGTACATTTGCTTCCTCGGGCAAAACCCTAGCTAATAGTGTTTCAAGGTCTGCAAATTTTGGGGTTGGACAAGCTTAACCCAGTTACCAACCTAAAAAAAATGGAAACCCTTCAATATGTGCCTTGGAAGCACATGAAACAAAATCATGCCCTAGGATTGCATACACGTCCAATTTTTGGACCGAACAGTCTAGCTGTTTAGGTACTCAAAAGTACCGCTGGAGCACTGTATACGGTGGGGGATGGCAAAGGGGTGGAGTACTCATCCAGTGATTCAGAAATGGATCCCAAAATTTCAGATCATGAAATCTTTCTAAGTAGGTCATTGCCCAGGGGAGCAGGTATACAATATGCTCCCTCTGGAGCACTGTATACGTGCTCTTTGTAAGTCACGTTGGTATCATTTTATATTTATGTCTCTAGTAGTATCTAGCATCATGTGTTTTTTTTTGAGTGTTAGTATCTAGCATCATATTAACATCGTAACTAAGTTTATAAAGGCATCCATTTTTTTTTCAAAAGATACTGTATAAAAGGTAAACGAAGAAAATATTTCTTTTCAGCTGAGTTGGTTTTGGGTATTGCAGGAACCAGAGAAACACGTCTTTCATTTGGTGACCGACAAGCTCAACTTTGGAGCCATGAATATGTGGTTCTTGCTGAACCCACCTGGCAAAGGCACTATCCATGTTGAAAATGTTGACGAATTCAAGTGGCTCAATTCCTCTTACTGCCCTGTGCTACGCCAACTCGAATCTGCAGCCATGAAAGAGTATTATTTCAAGGCTGATCATCCTACTACTATTTCGGCTGGCTCTTCCAATCTTAAGTATAGAAACCCTAAATATCTATCTATGCTGAACCATTTGAGGTTCTATCTCCCTCAAGTTTATCCTAAGTTGGATAAGATCCTCTTCTTAGACGATGACATTGTGGTACAAAAGGATCTCACAGGATTATGGTTAGTGGATCTCCATGGCAAGGTAAACGGTGCTGTTGAGACATGTGGTGAGAGCTTCCATCGATTCGATAAGTATCTCAATTTCTCGAACCCACGCATATCGAGGAACTTTGATCCTTATGCATGTGGGTGGGCATATGGAATGAATGTCTTTGACCTTATAGCATGGAAGAAGAAGGATATAACTGGGATATATCACAAGTGGCAGAATATGGTGATATATGGCTCTTTTTGTCTGTTATCATTTATTTTGGTTCTCATACGTCTGCTTCTTATTATGAACCCCTCTCTCTCTCTCTCACACACACACACACATACACATCTGGTGATGTGACTGTTTTTTATTCTCATGCTATTGAGTGTCCTACCACCAAATGTCATATTATTGCGACGTTTTAGCTCTCTCTCTCTCTCTCTCTCTCTCTCTCTCTCTTTAACTATTTATTTTAGTTCTCACATTGCTGCCTGCCTTACAACAGAATGAGGATAGAACATTATGGAAGCTGGGGACGCTGCCTCCTGGGCTTATTACGTTTTATGGCTTAACACATCCATTGAACAAATCTTGGCATGTTCTTGGCCTCGGTTATAACCCAAGTGTGGACAAATCGGAGATAGAGAATGCTGCTGTGATCCATTTCAATGGGAACATGAAGCCGTGGTTGGAGCTGGCGATGACAAAGTATAAGCCTTATTGGACCAAGTATATTAAGTATGACCACCCGTACATTACTCGCTGCAATTTGAGTGAATAGGTTAGGTGGTCTCTTGTGGGGTTGATGTGCTTCAATTTTGTAAAGAGAAAGATTGGGTCCCTTTTAACCTTCCCCAATACTGTTATATTGTTTTGATTTACTTGGTAATTCATTTCTATTCATTTTCCCCATTGAATTTGTGCCAAAAAAGTGTTGGCATTTCAATCGTCGTTGTCTTTTTTTTTTGTTCTTGCAAAATATTGAATGCAATGTACAGGATGATTTTGTCCCATACATAGGCCTTTTGATGGGGAAATAACACGACATGCATCACATGTATGCTCGCGGTACGCAGGTTGGGGAATCCTGATGTAAAGAAGTCCATTTTCACAAGTAGGGTTTTGATTCCTATTATAATGGATTGATAGGTATGAAATATCACAAGTTATATGTCAAGGTCAGTGTGGTAATTTGTCCATGGTCAACAATAACATCAGATGGTCGATACCCAATTTTCCTGTACTCAATATGATGGACTTGAATGGGGAAGCAATTCAATTAGCCACTAAGCTGTTGGCGGCGAGCGGCTGATGTCCCCCGTGTTATACTGCGTTATGGTAACTGCTATTGGCAAGAACTCCCCCTTGTCTGCATGTGCTTAAAGATCTGAAAAAAGAGGACATAAGAGTCCGGAGGGCAGCAAAGGACAGTCGAGAAGAACCATTTCTTTTGCGCAACCCTGTTGATGTCTACTAAAGTAGGTGGACAATTCATCCCTGCTGTCTGTTATTGGCAGAGTATGGTGGAGTTATAATAAAAACATTATTTAGTATGATGCAAGTAGCACAGCATACCATCCTTAAAAATTTGGCTCATGCAAGTGCTATGGGCCAAGTCGATCAGGTTTGTTGAGTTTGGCCATGGCAAATATCTACCACAGGGGTAGAGTTAATACAATGATGAACGTAGAATTTGACATTGTGGAGGCTTCTATTTTGGATTAAAACCGAGCTTCAGTTTAGGAAACAAGAGATCATGTTGAAGTAGTGGAGTTTTGTTCTATTAAGAGGAAACAAGAGATCATGTTGAACTAGTGGAGTTTTGTTCTATTAAGTGGAAACAAGAGATCATGTTGAACTAGTGGAGTTTTGTTCTAAAAGAGGTGTTTTATGAGTACGTTGAGAGTTAAGGTCCAATAGTAGTTATAGTAATACTGTTCTGTGATCTTCTGCCCGACGGAGAAAGTATATTGCTCCTGTGGGACAACAGTATATGCGCTCAATATAAAAAACAAAAAGTTGTCTATGGGGCTATTTTTGTCTGGAACTTTTGACCCTACTTTGTTGGGTTCAAAAGGGTCGGAGCCGGACGTAGGGGTGGAAATAGGTCAGTTCAGGTCCGGGTTGACTTGGCACAGACTCAACTCGGGTCTAGGGTTTTGGATCTAAACCTGACCCATTGGGTCCAAAATTTGAACCCAAACTTGAATTGGTTCAAGTTTGAGTCTAGAGCTTAACAAATTTTTTTTCAAAAAATATATTTCAAATATAAACACACTCATACATATACACTCACACACACATACACACATATATATATATATATATATATATATATATATATAAGTAATGACACTATGAGACCCTTCCACACCCATGTGAATAGGATCTCAAAGGATCACCATTAAATTTTGACATAGATCTCTAGAAAAGTTATCACATGGGTGTGAGATTTGAGTGAATGACTTTATTGATAACTTTTCTAAAGATCTGTGTCAACAATTTAATGGTGATTCTTTGGGGTTCTACTGACATGGGTGTGGGAGGGTCTCATAGTATCATTACTATATATAGAAAAGTTATCATATGGGTGTGGAATTTGGATGAATAAGTTTATTGATAATTTTTTTAGAGATTTGTGTCAAAATTTAATGG